GCTGTACAGGAAAAGCAAAGGATTGACCAAAGGATTTTTTGAGAAATTTCATGGCAAATCCATTCAATAGATGATGAGATGTGTCAATCAAAACCAAAACTCTGAGTTCATGGTGGTGAAAAAGTCAGACGGTACAAGGACCACGAATGTCTGAAAAAGATTTCATGGCGATCTGTCTGACAGTTGTTGAGATATTTCAGTCTGGAGAAAAGTGGTAGACTGAAGGTCCAACCAACTGACCCCGCCATCCATATCAAGCCACTTGGATAGCTTGGCTTGGCCAAATAACAGAGATAGAAGTGAGCACTGAGAAACAAAGTGACTGACGAGAGACAACTGTGTCCAAAGTAAAAAGTAGCCCTAGATTCGACAAATACATTTTAAGTTTGAGAAATGATCAATGATGAATTGAGTCTAAAAAAAAAAAACAGTACTACATTGGGAAAAGGAAACTAGCCTTGGGGATTTTGCACTTGAAACAGTACTCCACTTAAGTTCTCATGTTGTATTTTTAGTTCACCTTTGCACTATTTCATCCAGACATTGTTTGAATTTTTAGGCCACTCACTCATCCAACTGTGGCAAAAAGACACACATTCTCCCTTTGAAACACACAGTGACTGAGGCAACTGTATTTTTTGCAACTCTGATGTGTGTGGGGAGCGAGATGTGTGTTTTCATTGGTGAAGTCACATTACACAGTGTTTTCTGCAAGTAAGCATCATCAACAGCGCATCAGACAGTGTTTGCAGTGCACACCGAGAAGCAGCTCTCTAAACAGCAGAACATGACGTCAATGGGCAGAAACCTCTATTTCTTCAGTTGCAGCCGTGTATCTGAGTCACACAGGCTTTGAAAGTGTCTGTTACAGCTCTGGGGTCAGAACAAGCTGAGTAGATACAAGATACACAGACACAGATAAGAAAGCTGCCTTAGTTTTCTTTTTTTTTTAACTAAGTGTAAAGTTTTTTTTTAAGGGGAAGATATTTGGGCTGTTGTACTCACCAGGGCGCAGTACGTCTCTGGAGGGTCTCCACAGGTTATGTTGGGGGGATCCAGAGTCACTTTCAGGTACTGGGTCATATCTGCCGCCTCTGGCTGACAGGCCATGTAGTCCCAGGTTAGGCCTTCATCTGAGAAAACCTGGGACTTACATACATCGTAGTGGCCCCATGCTGCAGGGTAGTGCTGCATGGCCGCCTGGCAAAGAGCGGTCCACAGCGCCTGCAGCGTCAACACGAAATTGAAACGCATGACTGGTCCTCTCTCAGCTCCTTCTCAAGGAGCTGTATCTCCTTCTGAAGGTTTATGAACAAGGGATCCCTCTGCTACTTCCACTTACTACAACACACTCAGCTGGAGTGAGGAGGCATGCCACACTCCCTTCAGGTGGAGCAAGGGTCAGTTCAGAAGTGTCTTGTTTTTTTTTTTGTCTTTTTTTCACTATTTCTCTCTCTCAGGTTTCTGGAGTGGTGGATAACTATGATGATGCTGAGGTTACCAGCCCATTGAGAAGATAAGAGGAGAGGACTGAGGGAGGGAGGAGGACGGTGCAGGAGAAGGTGGAGGAAGAGGGGGGAGGTAAGAAGGAGATAGCCCCCTGACACGCTGATAGGAAGATGAGTGACAGGTCTCCTCAGCTTGCCTGGCTGTCAGTCATAGTCCTCGTCCTGTGTGGCGATCTGGCACTGCGGAGAAACAAGAAACAGAGGAGGGAGGGGGTAAATATACTGTACCTCCCTTATGGAAATAGAAACCGACAGTAAGGAAACCATGGCGTGGTTAAATGGTGTACATGTGAATAGAAAGCTGGATGTGTGTAAGAGAGAGGTGCCATGTTGGTGTTTGTTGTCTATCAAAACACAGAAAATCAGTAAGTGAGGCCATCAGGGTGAATTGGATCCTGCTGCTTTCACACCAAATCCTCATCTCACTCAGCGGTATCAGGCCTACAGTGTTACAGCCGTCCCCACAACCTCACACCCCCTCACCCACCTTACACACTCCTCACACTCCAAACTGCATGGGCTGGGGTGAAACCTCAAGAACATGAAAACATGAAGAATTGTCATAAGTCATATTCTATTCAACCATGGTCATTTTTGACCAAGACGGTTTGATGTCTCGCATCAAATGAAGCGAGACATCAAAACACGCAGTCTTAATCATAGATACTGAACAATACTGTAGAACACTCTGCTTAATGCTGTAAATTTCACTCTACCAGCTATCTAACGAGAAACATGACACTACAACTGGCCATGTAACATATCACAGTTTAACGTCTGCTTTGGCAGGAAGAAACTACTTTCACTGTGTCCATAACAAGAGGGGTGGTGGGAAAGAAGAGACTGTATAGTTGCAACCACTGCACAGTAAATGAATATAGCCGTACCGGAAGTAGTTCAAAAATAAAAAGCTGGCTACATCAGCTGTATTGAATTCTGATATCTAAAGTGCTATCATGGAGCGCTGGAGTCAGTAATCCACCAGGGACTCTGGGGTGACCTTTAGTGTGTGTGCTGTCTTTAAGGATATATATTTCTTTCCAGTTTCATAATGACCTGTTGCTGTAGAGTAATTAGTGTTTTCATTTGAACGTCATGAAATATTAAGCTTGTGCATTAATTGATTTTTTGGCCACTTGAAGGCAGAGCAAACTTGTTAGCAGATATGAAGCATCATTATAATCATTTTGTGGCCACATGATACATGAAAATGTCAATGTTTTCTCTCCTTTCAGCCATAAAATCAAAACAATGAATTGAAAGACACTGAAAGCTCAGTACAGCTGAGGGGAACGGCAAAGTTCAATGAGGTTCATCCATACAAGCAACACCTTTCACACCTTTCATATAAAAATATTGGTTACAGCTGCTTTAATTTCCCTTTCACGAGAGTGAGCAAGTGAAAACACCAACACCAGAGTTTAACTTACTTTATAAAAAGTCCTACTTTCAAATAAAAACAGTCGTACATTATGACTGCTTTTCAAGTTTCATGTCATCAGTGGCAGATCTGTCCATGGCAGGAGCCACAGCACTATATCACATACAGTGATTCACATCCATTTATAATTGCCAACCACTGTGCGCTGTGGCCTCGCTTTTTCTTTTGTCTAAAGTTTTTGCACTGAAAAACCTTTAAACACAGCTGAGCATCAGGCTTGAAAATATCTAACCCCGCTGTCTCTTTTTTCTTTTGCGGTTCATTTCACTGGCATCAATCTGAAATGTAATCACAAATTGTCTGCTTTTACAGATATTTATTCCTCCTTTTTGTTTTTGAATTGAGCCTCAAAAGTCTTTAAAATCAGGCGGTCCACATCCTGCGTGTGTCTTGATCTCTCTTTGGCCAGAGACACAGCAGTGAGCCAGTTGGCTGAACCTGTAGATACAGTTATGTGCAAACAGCAGGTGACTGATGGAGACCAGAGACAACGGTTAGAGACAGGACGGACAGACCGGTAGACATATTAGTAATGCTTAACCAGTCAGCTAAGTCAGTCTGTGTGTGTGTGTGTGTGTGTGTGTGTGTGGCCAAACACATTACTGTTTCAGCGATGTATACACAGTTCAGATATCAGCATAAACAAAAATAAGCTGCTGAGCGTATGCTGTTACAAATTGAGGAAGTGACACGTGTGTAATTGTGACTGACAATTAACAGTCTATCTGAATCCTGAAGACACGCTAAAAGACACACCTTCCATATAGAGAGAGAATGACAAACTGTAGGCCTAAAGATGTGAGGATTTGACATACAGGGTTGTGGTAATACTGATATCTTTATTTGCTTCCTCAAAATGTAAATTTGACGCATTGTAAACCAGGTATAATAGATCTGGAGCTGCATCTTTGTCAGATATTTTCAACCTGTGCCATTCAGAGTCATTTCAGTCTGATAGAATGTAAATCATCATTTTATGGAGCAGCCAAGGTCAGGGGCAAAGGCTCCGTAGCATACAAATACACTATGTCCTATACAAAGCAGCAGGCACATGAAAGAAAAAAGATGTTTTAATACTACTGGAAAAAAAGATATCACAGAAAAAAAAACTGAAAAAGTGAGATTCTCCAAACATGACGTGATAAGTTAAAAAATATTCTCTAAAAATGGATTCAAACTGAAATATTACGGCATACACTGTGGTGAATGTACAGAATTTAATATCGGTCATTCTAGTGCAATAGAAAAATCCATCACATCAATCACAATGAGCCTTATCCACGGATATGGTCGGAAACTGAGATTCAATTTTGCAGATGATCGAGAAAGACAATGTAAAATCAGTGCAAAAAAAATAAAAAAAATACAAGAGCAAGTATTGCAAGTCAGAGGACAGAGGAAGGAGGATGAGGTTAAGGGGGAAAGAAATAAAGCACCTTAAATGTAAAATGTAAGAATGTCAAAGGGGGAGATGTCACCAGGTGAGGAGGCAGCCAATTATCCAGAGGAACTCTTGGCACCGAGCTCCCTGTTCCCATTAAGAGACATAATATTACCATGTTAAGGAGGAGACTAAAGAGATGGCCAGAAAGTGTCTGCATGTGTGTGTGTAAGGCTGTGTGTGTGTGTGTATGTGTGTGCTTCACATGCAACCTCTGGATAAAGAGAGGTTCGAGTCATGGGTAATGAGACAACAAGCACTAGCGAGGCTTCGATAACAAGCAATAGAGATCACAAAAGCAGGGTCATTATCACTGCACCGTCCTGGACACAGTGGCCCCTTCCTCTCATTACTCCCTGCTTATAACCCTTCGTCGCCCCGAGGAGACAAGGTGAGGAGAGAAAAGGAGAGCAGATGGAAGAAGTGTGGATGTGCATTTTAAGTGAGAAAAAGGTTTATTTTAGGGCAGGTTGCTTCCTCCAACCATCGATCAAGGTTTGAGGACATCAGAGGAGGCGCACTCACAGGAAGTCTGAAATTCTGCCATGTACAGGAATATACAGGCACAGAGCGATAAACACTTACAGTAACAGTGGGAGGTTGCTGGGTGTGAGGGAGGGTGATGGCCAGAAAAACTACTTTGGTGTTAAACTTAAAAAAAAAAAAAGGCTTTTTTCTCTGCACTGCTGTGAATAGAAATGCCTATAATGTAGAAACATTTTGCTCGTTACTACAAAAATATATTTATCTAGCACCATTTATCAGTAAGTACAAATATGAAAAAATATGAAAAAGTCAGATATAAAGTATGAAACATTTAAACTGAAGTTTTAAGGTGTAACAACAAGGGAAATATGGTTACTTGTTAAAACTATTTTCAAAAGGAAAATTGCCTAAACCAAAATGTTATTCACCTGTGTGGGTGTCAACCATTAGAAACAAGTAAAATCACCTTAAAAATCTTCACCAGACATATTTTAAAATCCATAAAAAATATTCTGCTTTGAATGATCATTTGTGTCTGGTGTGATTTTTTTGAGAAAAAGTTTAATCCCCTGGTTAAAAATTCTTATTTAATTACATCTTCTCCTCAACGAAAGATCCAGAATCTGTAAAAAATATGCAAATATTTTACATTTCAGAAGTTTAACCACCGGACAAGAGACGTCTCCTGCTTCATTTAATGCGCACTGAAGGTTTCAAGTTTTCACACTTCATGTGTAAGTTGCATGCTGGACCACAGTAGCTTTTCAAACTGGCTGTGGGGTCACAAAATTCTAATTTAAAACACAGAGAAACTCTTCTCCCGTGAAAACAGCTTTCTAGTGTCAAACTTTGCACAGAAATTGTTCTGTACAGTGAAGCTCAGACATTCATGTGAAGTAACAATGAAAAAACACATTTTTGGTGTTTAAAAATACATACATTAAGTCAAAATTTGAACACAGGCAATTAAATAAAAAAGTTGGCTACTGGTAGCTTTTAGGGCAAATATATTAATATAGACTTTCATACAATTCTAGTAAAGTACATAGAGTACACCAGTTTGTGATGTGTGCACTCACAGTCTGCCTCAAACGAGGGGACTGTAGGTACCAAGCCGCCAGTGCTGCAACCTGCAAGCTCAATTTTATATTCAAACACATGAATCTTTCACTAAGCCCGAGAGGGTTTGTTTGCCTGGCAAGGTCGCCCCACCCACCCAAACAGCCACCCATTACACCCGACCTCTCTCCTGTCTCTGGGCCTGAGAAACAGCCCCTGGTGTCCACTTCCATTTTATCCCCGGGGCCACTCGAGCGTGACTGAGTGTTTTCTCCAAATCATGGGGGAAATGTTACACGCATATCCCCAGAGCCGCTCCCTTCTACTATGGGGAGTCACTTGTAAATCGTGCATATCATCAAATGAACAAACGAAGGAGCATACCCTTCATTTTATGCCCTGCATGCCCTCTTCCTCTTGTTACAGCTCCTTTTTCTTTCTTTAGCGGCAATACATGCCATCCTTTACTTTTATGTTTCATATAGGCAAATAAACAGTTTGTTCTTTTGACCCATGTTTCCTTCCTCTGTCCCCAACCAATTCATCTCCCATCCTCAATTTTTGCCCATTGATTGTTTCATTTTTTGTTGACTAGTGATTTGCGTGGGTTCAGCATTTTCACCTGCTGCTGGCTGTGTGTTGCCAACATAATCAACTGCTCCAGACTGCATTAATAGTTGTTCTTTGACCAAAAGGCCCCAATTTCTCTCACCCAGGACACAATAGTAAGACATGTGAAGTCATAACCTCTCAGGATTCACCTGTGGTGGCCCACAGCGGGCAGTACTTTCACACCTGCCTGCCTCACTGTTTAACAATTCAACGAATTAAAAATGTCCTAAAATTTAAAGAAAATATGTCAACTTTAGTTCTAAAGGATGTGCTCAGCCCAGAGTACGGTGGCATAATTACAAGGTTACCACAGCTATCTGGACTATTTTTCTCCCTTTCATTTTTAATTTCACGCATTTTATGCACTTTCAAGGGCAGTTTCTGACCCTGCTTCTGTCCTGTCTCTACCTACTTTCATCTTTTCTGACTCTACCTGTTTCATATTCCTCACCAGTGCCTTACTAAAAGAGAAACAAGAGCGCAGGAGAGAGAAGGGCAGAAAGACAGGAGGGCAGACAGTCAGAAACAGATGAAAGACAGATAAAGATAGAAGCTGGCCGGGCTTCGCAAAAAAAAAAAAAAGACTCCTGCCTGCTCTCTGTGCTCCACTCACCAGATTTCTCCACCTGTCTTTCCAAAATCCTAATCTTGCCTGTTAACAATCTGCCAATAGGGCCGCTGTCCTCATGAATAAACATATGGAGATTGGAGCATGGTCCTGCAGACATGACAGCCAGCGTTCCTGTAGAGCAGCGAGCATGTCTATAATGCATCCCTGGGGCTCGCCTCAGAGTCAGCCCATCACTTAGAGCTCTTTCCCACTTCTTAAAATGTCGCCGCCTTCAATCGGCAGGCTTATGATCTTTTAATAATGATGACAGGTAGCGAATGGGTAGAGTGCTGACAGCTGGTTAACTGACTGTGTTGGAGATGGGTGGGCAGATTCGGAAAGAATCAAAGCTGAGGATCTGCTCCAGGGTTAGAACAAATAGTTCATCTGTTTCAGTTATCCAAAACTGGGCTTGTATTGGGTTTTGATTTCCACCTGTGATGTGATGAATTATGACTTGCCTGCAATAAAAAACCCAGACCATAACAAATTTCTAACCCTGAAAGAATTTCCTTAATTGAGAGTTTTTGTTTCTCCTGTTTGAGATCTTTTCTACGTTAAAGATTAACTGAAAAATAAAAAATAAAAAATCAGAAATGTTTGCTTTGGTGTTGGCCGTGCTTGAACCCTTCTGAGGTAATGATTCTACTAACAGGACGTGTCTGCTGCCTCTCCTCAAATCCAGAGTCTGCTGGAGCCAGACAGGTCAGGTCTCTGAAGACAAGCAAGTCCCTGACTGCTCAAGACGTGCTTCACTTGCCTCCACCAGCTGCATCTGCCACAGTCCTATATCACTCCCTCTTCCTGACTCCATCCACCCCCCCGAGCAGCCAAAGCTACCACGTGCACACTGTGCGTGCGAGAGCAGCACTTTTGACAGGGTGACTGTGGCAATGCTGCCCCAAGTCGAGCTGAACACCCTCGGGCGTCAGTTACTCCAATGAGACAGTGAGACAAGATCACGCCTACACCACCCTCCCTCCCTCCATCCCTCCATCCCTCCTTCCCTCTGCCTCTCCTCGCCACCAAGCATGCTTCTCTTTGCGACACAGGAACATCTTATGCATTATTAAAGACACTTTTCCTAAAAGGCTGCTAGCACATTATTCTGCAACCACAGTGACATGTCTAGAGACTCAAAATGTCCACTTTAGCTCTAAAGAATGTGCTCACCCAGGTAGCTCTCTCAAGATGGAAATATTGTGAAAAGGCTGGAACAGCCACATAGTTTAAAGCGACAGCTACTTTAACCCCATATACAACGACTTATTATAGGCCTACCTGTCATTTTATTAAAGCAGGAGTATGAAATATGAAATCAAAGAATGAAAACAGAGGTTTAGAAGGGACCTAAAAAAGACTATTGATTGTTGCAATGTTGAGTCTAATATGATCATTAACTCATCTGTTTCAACTGCAGGTGTAGTTAGAGGAACAGCTGCAATCTCATTTTCTAAATACTACTGTTCCTCCATCCAGCACGTGCCTTCATTCTGAACTCTGAGGCAATCATCTTTAATGATAACAGTTATGAGCATGAATAATTGTTTATTACCCAATACAAAGCCAAGATAAAGTCATGTGGTTCTTGCAGATTATAACTGTTATAAATAATATCATGATATAATGTCACGCCTGAAGTCTAACTCACTGCACTTTAGAGCACAAACGAGCATTGAAATCAAGCAGGTCTGAATTCAATGAGAAACTAATTCATGTGTAGAGTGAACCACTACTGAGACCATGTACCAAAACTAATCTAACTGAAGGCTAAAAGCTTGCTCATATAATGGTGTATTAAAGGTAGACCATGACACAAAATGCGTGATAGATTGACAACGATTAGGAAACAAGTTCCACAAGGGGGCGCCTCTAAAAAAATGACCTGAGGAAATGGTGTTAAGTTATGGATTCATTCAAGGTCACTTTATTTCTACATTTTTATAAAAGTCATTCTTTGCGGTTCAGGAATCTGGAAAGTTGTTTATGTTTTTTAGAAGTTAAAGACCCACAACTCTGTGCCCGCTCCGCATCTGGTCATTATGTGAGATAAACGCATCCAGGCCAAAGCCAAGTAACTCCCAACGATGACAACCAGCTACTTCAACTCAAAAAGTAAACTTTACAAGTGAAAAGGTAAAACTTACATCTCTTGAATGCCCCTCTTGGACCGGGCTCTCCGTGTCCCTCAGCTCTTTAACGCCGTTCAACAAGTTCAGAGCAGCAGAATGAACATTGATGAAGAAAGAAGCTCTTTAAGATGCGCTCCTTAACGGGAATGTGATGAGTATGCACGTCAGTCTCTGAGGAATCGCTTTGCGCACCATCTCTCACTCTTGTTTGGTGACCGAGGGGGGAGAAAACGATCAAGAGGAGGATATCCCTGCCACTTCAAAACAAATGACTTATCACCGTCCTGAGGGCTCGGTCAGCACCGCGCCTGGTGGAAACGGAAGGATTTCTGAGCAGGAGCTCCGGTGCCAAAGTGTCCATCATCCTCTCTCCAAGTGTCATTCCATCACGGCGTCAATCTGAGGCACAGTGATGTCCGCAGAAAAGAAAACCCCCACTACTGCAAAACAAACTTTGACCTGCTGGCGTGCGTCCCTCCTCTTTTCGTCCTGTTTATAATTCCTTCATTCCCAAAGACTCCAGCGTGCGGCTCTCTGCGCGAATCTCGTCCTCACTATCTTCTTTCTCTCCTTCTCCTTGGCTATGAATTGGTTTCAGCCACTCAACAGGGACATGAATCACACCAATTAAACTCGGCTACTGAGAATATCCTTTCGCATCAACGCATCTTCTCCTGGCCGTCTCCCCGGCACGGCGCAGAACCGACCGCCCAGACGGAGATGACGGGGAAGAAAATGCGCTCCGAGGCTCTATTAGATGAGACGCACACTCAGCTTGTCTTTCCCCCACCACCACCACCACCACCACCACCCCCCACACACACCTATGGTTTCTCTCCCCACCCCTCTAGCCCGTCTCCAACACCCCCAACCCAGCCCCCACCCACACACATTCACATCTACACACACCATCCTCTTTCGGGACCCGATAAAACTCAGGAGGGGGGGAAATCGCCTCTAGTTGAACCTCTTTTGTTGGAGTTAACCCGAGTCGCCTGACCGCGTTAAATTATCCAACAAATGCGGGTTTAATAGCCTCAAAGGAATGATAGTAAAACAGAAGGAGGCAAATCTCTGAGTCTGGACAACCGAACAAATATTTAAGTATTTGAAGAAAAGTGTTGATGTTTTGTTTTCCCGTCATGCGTGGGTCAAAATGCTACATCTTAGTGGTTAATTCCATTTATTGATAATTGTAATAGGACAAATTTAATATTTGAATAATTTGGAACGATTGAGAATGGTGCGTAATTGTTCCAAATTCCATCTTATGTGAATAAAAAGAGGGATAGATAGTTTTAATAGCCGTGTCTCACCCAGTATACTGTTTAAACTCCAAATAGGTGTAGTATATGAAGGGAGGGTGAACATCTTCTAATTATCTACATAAAAAAATAACAATGATGGTGGGAAGAGGGCGTCTCTTCAGTGCGCCAGCGAAGGTCCCATTCCAAAAATTAAGCGTTAAATTGACCGTGGTTCATTAAGCAATAAATAAATGTCTATCGGAGAACGGTCTTGTATTTATTAGGATATAATTTCAAATCCAAACTCTCAGATCTACTGTTGAAAAACTCACGTGTTTTCTATTCTATTTTTTTCTTCATGTGCACCACAAATAAAATTCCTAATAAAAGGAGAGGTGTGTTTTTTCAAGCTTGGAGAATGCGCCACATTCTCACACCTTAATTGATTCCCACAAACAGTGAGAGGTGGGGGAGAGGAGGGTGTGAAGAAGTCAGGTCGTGGCACTTGGCGCACAGGTTAACCTCGCAGCGGGTTGACAAGCTTCTACACAGCTGAATGTGTGGATGTTTACAGTCTGTATGCAGCATCTATAGGCCCAGAGAGGCCCTCATCACCCCAGCACACATCACGCTGACCTGCGCTGATGCTTCTAACCTTCAAGGATATTGTCGGAAAGAAAGAAAAAGAAAGACGTGAGAGAAAACGCCTTTTAACCAGATAGAGTGAGATTGTTTTTTAAAAGATGATAAAGATAAACGATGAATGTTTATCCAGCGTGAGAGAAAATCCAACTGGATGGCAAGAACGCGGTGCTCCGTGTCATTTACAAATGACAAGGAATCATGTGTGTTATTATCTGCACATAAGCATGACTGATTCATTTCAACAGACTCACTGGATGTGAAAATGCAGAGCACAGAACCGGCTTGGATCTGTGCGCGCAGAGCGCGTTCCATGTGTCCCTTATTTTCCCTTGTATACAGGTGAGTTATGCACAAAACTGAACAGAGGCAGTTTGCTTAAAGAAAGTGTGAAACAGCTATTTCCTGTTCAGCGTCTTGAGACAACAGCAGTTAGGGTTGCACCTGATTTCTTTTTGGTTATCGCTTCAGTTGATAAGTCAATTTCCACGCATGGAAAATGTGAGGTAGGGCACCGAATGAGAGCAGAAAAAGATAACCTGAAAAAAAATGCAGGTAGGCCTATCTGTTCTCAGAATACTCGGCTTACTTTCTCTAATCACGACGCACAATTTGATTACCCACTCGGCGCGCGTCGCAGCAAAGCTTCAAAAGTTTACGCGCCGCACCATCCACTTGGAGATTGATGAAATCAAAAGAAATCGGCTGTCTGAGCCTCTCACCTTGGTCTTCAGTGCTTCATACTGCCGAGGACAGCTGGTCATGTCGCCTGTTGCAGCCAAATAAATCCGCTTTGAAACGGGACATCTTAACACGGCGCAGGAACAGGAGACTCGCCGTAGAAAGCGACCTGCTTGTCTCCGCCGCTCCCGGGGAATGGAGGAGAGCTCCCGGTACCCACACAACGTCACTTAGAGCAGGACGCACAAGTGAAGACGACAAGGAAAATCCGTCTAAACCCAATGTAACGTTTTTTTTTAAAACAGCAGGTCAAAATAAAGCGATGGAATAATAAAATAACTCCAGGTGGCTCCTGAAAAAAGGAGCCTCAGAGACGCAGAGAGTGAACAGACTCACTGCTCTCAGACACACTGAGGCGGTGAGGCTCTGACAACTGACTTTCACCTGAAGTTTATTTCTTAGCTGAAGCCTGTTAGCAGCAGCTGAGTGTAGACACGAGCAGATAATTCATTTGTAATCACAGGGTTTAGCAGGTTTTTTTTTTGGTTTTATACATTAAATTGTCTAAATATCATTCAGATCACATGCACGTCTGATCAGCAGCAGCATCAATAATAGTAGGTATTTGTGGGAATTCTGTTATGTTGCTTTATGGCAGAAAGAGAGATTGATTTGTTGCACAAAACAGTGGAAAAGGCCGATGGTTTTTCATTATAACTAAATGATGTAAAACCAGGAGCACCGAGGGTTCTGGTAAATGTGGTCTTAATCATAAGCAACTGCTGCCATTCAAGAGTATAACTGATCCGGCAAAAATATATGGATGTTTAAAACTTTTACACATAGATATTTTAAAGTTACATAAAGTAATTTATGATATTTATTCACGTCTATTTGAAGTGGAATAATGGCGATGTATAGTACACGGTGTATTAGTGCACAATTGAGGGTGGAGCAAGCAAATCAGTGGAGAAATCAAACAGAAACATGTAGTGAAGAGGCTACATGGCCAATATTGCTTGTAATTTGCTTTGTAAAATAAAAAAAATATGTTGCTAGTTGCTCACTTGTCCCTATTTCTGAGGAGTTAAAGCTGAGGGGATGAGCAGAGCACATGAGTCACTAAGTGGGTTATCAAAGCCAGAAATCTCAAAAACAAGCCAAGTCTAGTTGAGTCATTGGTATCAATCACTAAAATCTGTCGAGCCCTGCAGATGTAAAGCACAGTATCATGGCCATTTTGCTTTATGAGACAGTTCATTTAACTCATCTTTAAGTTTATTAGTGACCCAGTGGGGAGGTTAAGGATCTCAGCTGCGGAGCCAGCTCCTCACACAGCTGCCTGTCTCCCTCTCTCTCCTCTGTGAGGCCAAGGGCAACTTGCTTGACATGAACCTCTTCTTTTAATTCACTCAGCGGCAAGAAAGAGGAGTGAACAGTGGGAAGCTATCAAAGAGCACATTTAATTCCCACTTATTGACTCACTTCAATGACACCGTACAATATGTTTACTTATAATACGTTTCTGGAGCTCATCTGCACACTGCTAAGCTCTTTTGTGTCTTTTCTTCATGGTCTAAAAAACCACTAAGCTCAGGCAGACTGGGTTTGCACAGTGAGTCTGTAAATGAAAACAGGCACTGACAAAAGGCTAAAGTACTTCAACACCAATAGATGGCTTGTGTATTAACATGTTTAGGTAGGACTGTGTCAAATAGGAGTTTAGCAAGAGGAATGAAAAGAGGATGGGTTTGAATGATACACACACAAAGACAAACACACACACACACACACACACACACACACACACACACAACAAGACCATGTGCCGTCAAATCCATCAGTGGGTTCAATACATGGCTCTTTCCTTGAGAGACCAATAATCACGTGGGCCCATCTTCCCGATATCTCACCTCCACCCTTGTGTGTTGTTAAGTTTGTTTTTTTTCCCTTCATGTCATATCTCAGGATGGTTCTAAGAAAATTGATGGGTCAAGCTCTTTTTGCACATCCCTGTCTGCAGACGCCAGGACAGAGGTATTGGATTTTTACGCCTGTTCAATGCAGGGTAATGTTGCATTCATGCGGAGGAGTGTGTTTGTTAGTCGAAGGAGTGGAGGGAGGAAGAGGGGAGGGCAGGTTATGCATAAAGAACTATTGTGCACTCAGTTGAGCACTTTATCGGGAACACCATACTAACACTGGGTAGTTCCTTTGTTCGAAGACAGCCTCAGTTCTTTGTAAGATGGATGTTGGAAACTTCCTTTTGAGATTCTGCTCCACGTTGACATGATTGCATCACATCATTTCTGCAGATTTATCAGGTGCACATTCATGCTGCCAATCTCCTGTTCTACCACATCCCAAAGGTGTTCTACTGGATTCAGATCCAGTGACTGGGGAGGTCACCAAAGTTCACTGTTCATGAAACCAGTCTGAGACGACTTTTGCTTTGTGACATGGAGCATTATCCTACTGGAAGTGGCCATTAGAAGATGGTAAACTGTGGCCATAAAAGGATTCACACGATCAGTAACAATGCTCAGATAGACTGTGACATTCAAACCATGATTGATCGGTATCAAGGGCCCAAAATGTGCACACCACCACCACCAGCCTGGACTGTTGACACAAGGCAGGTTGGGATCTATGGATTCATGCTGTTGATGCCAAATTCTGACGCTACTAACTTTAGATTCATCAGACCAGGCTACTTTTTTCATTCTTCAACTGTTCAGTGTTGGTGAGTCTGTGCCCACTGCAGCCTCAGGTTTCTGTTTTTGGCTGACAGGAGTGGAACCTGATGTGGTTCTCTGCTGTTGTACCTCAATGTTCTGAGAAGCTTTTCTGCTTACCACAGTTGTAAAGAGTAGTTATTTGAGTTATCGTAGCCTTTCTGTCAGCTCCAACTAGTCTGGCCATTCTCCTCTGACCTCTCTGATTAACAAGGTGTTTCCTCCACAGAGCTGCTGCTCATTAGATGTTTTTTTGTTTTTGGCTCCATTCTGAGTAAAAACTCTAGAGACTGGTGTGTGTGTGTGTGTGTGTGTGTGTGTGTGTGTGTGGTGTGAGCTCAGCACTTTCAGAAATACTCAGACCAACCTTTCTGACACCAACAATCATGCCACGGTCAAAGTCGTG